GGAGTGAGCAAAGTAGGCACTTGTGCTGGGGCATGTGGGTAGTCACAGTGGTCCGAATGGAGTGAGAAGAGCAACCACATTAAGACCCCAGCCAGCATAGGGTGTCAGAGCCTGAGCAGGAGGAGAAAGATATCTACATAGGAGGGTGAGCAAACATGGGAAGTTGGTGCCTAAGGAGGTGAGGATGGTGATCACGCGTGATGAGGGGCAGCCCAGCACCAGCCATTGGAGCTCAAGTAGGACGAAGCATCCCCAGAGGCTGGCCTGACATGGAGTATTGGAGCCTGAGTGGGCTACAGAGGGTGTCCACACTAGAGGGAAAAGGGTGGCCTGCTGTGGAGTGTCAGAACCTAAAGGAAGTGAGGAGGATGTCCATGCAGGATGACCTGGTGCACCGTGTCAGGACCTGAATGGAATGAAGAAGAAATGCAGGGGAGGGGACAGTGGCCCAAAGGGAAATTTGTTGCAACACCACTAATCAAAGGAATCAACCTGTAACAATGAGCATATTTCATGCTCAGGTTTTAGTTTCTAGAAACCACTCCCCACTAAAGGAACCAGGGTCCCTTCGAACATTGGCTAATTCCAGTCTCCTTCACTATAGTGACTGGAAGACACCACCTTATTACAATCCAGTGATCAAATAACTGTCATTAGCTATTGGACGAATCAAAATCAGGTGCCACGTGATAAGATGCAAAGAGAAGATGCGTTCTGTGGTATTCTTACCAAAGCCATGTAATTTGAATCTGGAAGTCAGGAAGAATCAGGCAAACCACACTGAGGAACAAAGTGGGCTGCGATGTTCAAGAGTGTCAAGGCCACAGAATGATCTCCAAGATATATTGCTGAAAAAGACAAGGCACAGAATAATTTACAAAATATGCTGCCTCTGCGTAAAAAGAGAGGGAAGGGGATAACAAGCTGTCCATTTCTATGTATGTGCATAAGTATACTGGAGGGTTCCTAAAATACTAAGAACATGGGTTACCTATGGGTGTAGTGAGAACTACACTGAAGGCAGACAATGATGAGACTTTTCACTGTATGCATTTTTAAAAAACTTTTAATTATGAAATTCACATATTAGATTAACCATTTCAAAGTATACAATTGGGTACATTCACATTTAGTACATTCACAATGTTATTGCAACCGCCACCTCTATATAATTCTAAAACATTTTCACAACTTATTTATTTCTTCATTTGTTTGTTTCGAGATAGGGTCTTGCTCTGTCACCCAGGGTGGAGTGCAATGACACGATCTTGGCTCACGGCAACCTCTGCCTCCTGGGTTCAAGCGATTCTCCTGCCTCAGCCGCCGGAGTAGCTGGGATTACAGGCGTGTGCCACCACATCCAGCTAATTTTTGTATTTTTAGTACAGAGGAGTTGTGTCATGTTGGCCAGGCTGGTCTTGAACTCCCGACCTCAAGTGATCTCCCTGCCTCAGCCTCCCAGAGTGCTGGGATTTCAGGCATGAGCCACTGTGCTCAGCCTATTTTCACAAGTTTAAAAGAAAACTCTGTAATCATTAAGCAGTTCCTCCCTATCTTTCCTCTCTCCTAACCCCTGGCAACTCCCAATCTGCTTTCTATCTCCATAAATTTACCTGTTTTGGATATTTCATATAAATAGATACAACACGTGACCTTTAATATCTTGCTTCTTTCACTAAGCGTAATATCTCTGAGGTTCACCCACGTTGTAGCTTGCAATAGTACTTCATTCATTTAAATGTACAAGTATTATTCCATTGTATGTATATACCACATTTTGTTTATCCCTGCACCTGTTGATGGACATTTGGGATTTGGGTTGTTTCCACCTTTTGGCTACTGTGAATTTTGCTGCTAGATACATTTGTGTACAAGTATTTAAGTTCCTGTTTTCAATTTCTTTGGTATATACCTCGGAGTGTGGCATTGCTGGGTCATATCATAATTTCACATTACACTTTTTTTTGAGGAACTGCAAAACCTTTCCATAGCAGCTGCGCCATTTTATATTCCCATCAGCAATGTATGGAGGTTCCAGTTTTTCCATGTTCTCACCAACAATTGTTATTTTCTATTTTTGTTGTTGTTTTAATTATAGCCGTGGTAGTGGTTATAAAGCAGTATCTCATGGTTTTGATTTGCATTTTTCTAATAACTAATGATATTGAGAATCTTTTTATTTGCTCATTGGCCATTTGTATGTCTTCTTTGGAGAAATGTCTGTTCAAATCCTATATACGCTTTTAATGATCTAGTTTTGGAAACTTTGAATGTATTGCCTAATTAAACAGTTTTTAAAATAAAAGAAAAAGCCATTTAACTGTTTTGGATCTTACTTTCTTCCTTTAGACACTGTAGGGATTGGGCTAGATCGCAGCTGTCAACCTTGAAATTATTGACATGTTGGGCCAAATAATCCTTTTTTCTTTCTTTTTCTTTTTGTCTTTTCTGGTTTTTTTTTTTTTTTTTTTGAGATGGGGGGTCTCACTCTCTCACCTAGGCTAGAATGCAGTGGCTCGATCTCAGCTGACTGCAACCTTCACCTCCTGGGCTCAAGTGATCCTCCCATCTCTGCCCCGCAAGTGGCTGGAACCACAGGTGTATACCACCATGCCCAGCTAATTGTTTCTATTTTGGGTAGAGACAGGTTTTCGCCATGTTGCTCAGGCTGGTCAACCCCTGAGCTCAAGCAATCTACCTCCCTGGCTTAGCTTCTCAAAGTGCTGGGATTACAGGCATGAACGACCGTGCCCAGCCACAAATAATTATTATGTGACTTGTCCTGTGCGTAGTAGGTTGCATAGTAGCATCCCTGGCCCCTACCTATTAAACGCCAGTAGCCCCAACCCTACCCAGGTTTGACAAGCAAAGGTGTCTCCAGACGTTGCCAAATGTCTCCTGGGGAGCACAGTTACCCTGAAAACCACTGGAGATCAATGGCCCCACAGGCTCCTGAACCTGGATCAGTTTACAGGTAGTGTTGTGACTTTGCAAACGATTTTCAAAAACAAACAAAGAAAAATAATTAACATATTGTACATTTATTTTGATAAAGCCTCTATAGACTAAGACCTCATGCATCTTTGCTTTTGCTTAGAATGGAGTCAACTTAAAATACAAATACTGGTGGATCACCCTGGGTCAGAAGCTCTGACTGGCATTTATTTATGTATCTGATTATTAAAATGGGAAACAAAGTTAAATAAATGATGTTTTTGAGTTTTGTAAATCAGATTCAATCTGTAGGGGAGAGTAGGTAATAAAAGAAGTCCGTGGATGAAATAGCCGAAAACCACTTAAGTAGGTGATCCGCATTTAAGTAGATTGACTTTCAACATTGTTCTGTTTTTTTGCCATGGTTCCACAGGGTGGCAGTAGTGAGTTTGGAGTAAGATTTTTGTTTGCCGCAGACGCACTTCAAAGATAATCAGTACAAATAGGACTTTGCTGTTTCCAAAACACTAAAGGAAACAAAACAAAACCTCATGGAATTTTCCCCATAGTATCCTGTACAGTCTCCCCCAACCTCCTTCACCGCTTAAGTGTCTCCATTGAATCCAATTTTTAAAAATAAAGCTTATTCTACTTCCTCATCTATTACCCTGTTGCCAGAGGTATCTGACTTCCTCTTCTTCAAAACAAGCCGAAGGCCTAGACATATTAGTTGGATGCTCACCAACCTTCGCTGGTTACTCATGACTAGCAGCCTAAAACAAACTCCTTCATCTCTTTCCATTCTGTCCCATGAACCCCAAAGCTGGCCCTTGGGCCGCCGCCCATGCTTTTTCTCCCAACTGCATGTACCTATACAGAGTATTCTCACCATCTAGAAATCCCATCCTGTTTGCTTAGCCTGAAAAATGCCTCCTCATCTAATCTCCATGGCCCGGCTCAAATGGGCACTTCATATCTGAAGCTTTCTCTGACTGCCCCAGGTCACTAATTGTCCTGTCACATGGGCTCGACACCACCTGTTTTAGCACCAACTATACTCTCTTTTAGAGAAAAGGTATTTTATTCATTAACTCCTTTGTTGTCACTACTAGTCATTCACTAGCACATAATAGGTTCCCTGGTACATAATGGCAAATTTCTGGAATGAATAAATCAATGAATAACTGAATTAAGAGACTTAGGCTTTAAAAATTTGCACCAATTTAAATGATATATATAATATATATGTGCCAAAAAAACAAGGGGCATCAGGGTGTCCACCCTTCTTACTCAAAAGAATGGAATAAACTAACAGTAGAGTATTGCAAATGGAATTAGTGGCTGGATGTCATGGCTCACACCTGTAACCCCAGCACTTTTGGAGGCTGAGGCAGGTGGATCACCTGAGGTCAGGAGTTCAAGACCAGCCTGGCCAACATGGTGAAACCCCATCTCTACCAAAAAATCATACTGTAATCCCAGATACTTGAGAGGCTGAGTCAGGAGAATTGCTTGAACCCAGGAGGTGGAGGCTGCAGTGAGCTGAGATCGCGTCACTGCACTCTGGCTTGGGTGACAAGAGCAAGATTTCATGTTAAAAGAAAAAAAAAAAAAGGAATTATTTGCTTTTATGGAGGCAAGCAGAGTGCTGGAGTCTGTAATTTTATCTATTGCCAAATTTACCAAGTGCTTTGTGATCTATGAATGTGTCTTTTGAAACTTTTATTAGGTCTAACAATTCCTACTTTGTAATTTGTAATTTGAAATGAAACTGGCAGCTTCCTTTTACTCTGTAATCTAGCTAACTGTCTTATGGAACTGGCCCTTTTATGTCTGATTTCTTCCTGTGGCAAGGGAATCCTGATTGCTTTCAAAACGTGTGTTGTCTGCATCATTAATTTGGCACTTATTGGCTACAACTTTGAGAACGCTCATCTTCATTTGTGTATATACCCCCCACACCCCTAATTCACTGTAAGATGTTTGAGAGTGGTGAGCATATTTAGAAGTTTTTGTATTTCGGTGATAATCCAGCTTATTGCCTTATGCATGTATTGTTTACTTACTTTTCTCTCCTTTACACTAGTGGAGGACATTGCCCGATATCTTAGTTGAAGTTTCTATAGTGTTACAAATAGACACTTATTTTTCACTCATGCAAAGTCCAAAAAAGGTATTCCTGCTCAGCACATGGCTCTTCTCCAAGTGGTGATGTGGGACCAAGTCCCCTTTCACCACATGGCTTCTAAGGTCACCTTACTCATCTGCATCAAGACAGAAGGGGCAAGTACACAGAGAGAGGATCATTCACAGGAGATTTTTGTGGGCCAGGCCTAATGCAACACAAATTAGTCTTCACATACTATCGGCTAGAACACAGTCATACGACTTCACCTTGCTCCAGGAGAAGCTGGCAGATGTAGTCTGTCAAGGAAGAAAAGGCAACGTGAACAGAGTGGTCTCTGCCACACTTGGAAAAAAATACTAATAATTAGGTTACTTTTTATAATTTTACTTGCCAAATATGCCATCTATTTTCACTCATAATTTCATTTTATTAACACTCATCTGTTTCCACTACATACTGATACTGTTATCAAGCTTTAATAGTTTATCACCTTTCTCTCGCCTGGGGTATTTATCAACTTAATTCCAATGCTAAAATAGCCACTGTTAACATTTTAAAAATATTTTCTCTGCACATAAATTTGTATGTATTTTAATATAATTGTAGTAATATACACTTTGTATCTTATTTTTACATAACATTATAGCATAAACATTTTCTCCTTCTTAGGAATGTTTCGGGAGCAACTTTTTGTTTTTTATTTTTATTTTTTAGGTAGGGTCTCCCTCTGTTGCCCAGGCTGGAGTGCAGTGGCAAGATCTCGGCTTACTGCAACTTCTGCCTCCTGGGCTCAAACAACCCTCTCACCTCAGCCTCCCCAGTACCTGGGACCACAGGTATGTGCCACCACCCCCAGCTAATTTTTTTGTATTTTTGGTAGAAACAGGTTTTGCCATGTTGTCCAGGATGGTCTGGAACTCCTGAGCTCAAGTGATCCGCCTGCCTTGGCCTTTCAAAGTTCTGGAATTACACGTGTGAGCCACCACGTGTGACCCCAGTAGCAACATTTTTTATGGCTGTATAGTGTCTATGATCTGCTTAGATATTATACCCTTCTTATTGGGGCATTAAGCCGTTTCTTCATTTGTTACTATTGTTGCCTGAGTTCAAATTCTGACTCATTTCCTAGCTAAATGACTGTGGGCTTTCTGGTTCTGGGTTCCTTATTTGTAAAGTGGGGCTGACTATGCTATCTACCTCCCATGGTTTGGGGGGATTAAATTAGTTAATATGTTTAAAGCAGTAAAAGAGTTTTCTTCTGGAGACTTTCATTCATTCATTTTATTATTATTGAGACGGTCTCGCTCTGTCACCCAGGTTGGAGTGCAGTGGTGTGATTTGCCTCTCTGCAGCTCAATCTCCTGGGCTCAAGCGATCCTCCCACCTCAGCCTCCCGAGTAGCTGGGACTACACTCATGTGCCACCTCACCCAGCTAATATATATACACACATACATTGCAGAGGCTGGGTTTCGCCATGTTGCCCAAGATGTTCATTTATTAATTCCACAAATATTTATTCATTGTCATCCTGTGCTAGTCACTATTCTAGGGGCTTTGATACAAAAATTATGAAAGGAAGGGACTATCTAGTGGAGAAAACATACCAGAAAGCAAAGAAATAATTCCATTGCTATGCGCCATAGGGAGATGAACTTCGCCAGGAAATAGAGAAATAGTCAAGTGGAAATCCAAACTGACTTAAGTCAGGAAGGCCTCATTTGCCTAAATTTGCCTACAGACCAATTTGCCAAATGACAAATGTTCAAAAAACTACCAAATACCTAAAACATGCTTTTAGGCTGTTCACAGCAGTGGTTTCACCATCAGTGGCAAGGATAGAAGCAAAGATCCAGTTTGTAAAAAACAGAGAAGACCGCGAATTATTTTTAATGGAAAGTCCACCCACAAACAGTAGGAAGTATCCTAAGGTATGAAATACACTTGAAGTTGATATTCAACTGAGCTAACCTGATAACCCCCTGGGGGAAAACAGCAGCAGCAAAATAACTGCAGTCACACTGCTGTGTAATGAAAATTTCAAAAGAAATCAGTAATTCAGCAAATGTCTTTAGTGATTTGGCCTTCTTCTGGAAGTCAGAGAAATGTTTTGAGTAGATGATATTTAACCTGGGACTCAAATGTGAGAGAAGGCCTAAAAAACTCTTCTATAATTAATACTTGGACAACTCATCTAGTACTTATTACAGACCGTCCTTTATTAGAGTACTTGGGACATGTACTTGATATCTTAATATGAGGTCTTTAGGTGCAAGGTATGTAAAAGTTCACTAATTGTTTATGGATACACGTGAATTGAGTGTGGTGAGACAAACAGGTGTGTCTGTTGGATGACCCCTGAGGCTATCTCTGGGTGGCTTGGCAATGAGCTGGCTAGGCTTGGTGGCTCCCTCTTCCCTCTACAGGGCTTCCAAATGCTAACAGTCCTGGACAATTGGCATTCCTAGCACTGGTGTGCAATTCTGAGCTCGGATAGCTTTCCCTCCTCATGCAAGGCTCTTCTCAGGAAGAGGGAGCAGGCAAGATTTCTGTTCTGGAACACAACCGTTGGAATGTGTAGCCATTCTGAGCCCACACATGTGTGCCCATGAGATGCCAATCCTGCTGCTGACCCTTCTGCTTGTAGATTCCTGACTGCACTGTGTGGCCTGAACCCTTCACACAATTGGGTGACATCCATGGTAGTATTTCACTCTGCCAACATTGAGTGAATGTATAAACAAAATTGAACAAAATGATGATACAACTCAGCTGTGATCTAGATTATCCTATAGGCATGCTATAGAATGGAGTTACAGGTGAAAAGCAATAAAACCTTGTGTATTAGTCTGTTCTCACGCTGCTAATAATGACATACCCCACACTGGGTAATTTACAAAGGAGAGAGGTTTAATGGACTCACAGTTCCACATGGCTGGAGAGGCCTCACAATCATGGCAGAAGGTGAATGAGGAACAAAGTCATGTCTTACATGGTGGCAGGCAAGAGAGTGTGTGCAAGGAAACTCACCTTTATAAAACCATCAGACCTTGTGAGACTTATTTACTATCACCAGAACAGCATAGGAATAAACCACCCTATGATTCAATTACCTCCCATCAGGTATCTCTCATGACACATGGGGATTATGGAAGCTACAATTCAAGATGAGATTTGGGTGAGGACACAGCCAAACCATATCACCTTGAAACTGCAGTCTTAATGCTTGTTTCTCTTCTTCCAAATAGGGAGGTCAACTGAAGATGCTGCCTTTTGTTAAGCATATCACTGCTGTTTCTACTCTCAATTTAGATGTCCATGATACTTTCAGAGAATGAAAACCTCACTAATGATAACCAGATATGTTGACTTTTTTTGGCCTCTACCTATAATAAATTAATTGCATATGCTTTCCTGGCCATTAGAAAATGAATAAATTAATTACTTTCATGGAAGGAAAGGTAATTTTTTTTGTTTTTATTTTAAAACTATTTCAAACTTAAAGAAATGCTGCAGACATAGTACAAAAAATGTTATTTTTCCTGAATTATTTGAGAGTAAGTTGCCAGCATGATGCTTCATCACATCCAAATACTTTAATGTGTATTTCCTACAAACAAGGTGCTATGGTTTGAATGATGAGGGTCCCACAAAAATTCATGTTGAAACTAATCCCCAATGCAACAGTTCTATGAGATGTGGCCTTCAGATTGTGATTAAGTTCCACCTCCATGAATGGGATTAGCACCCTTGGAAAGGGGCTTAAGGCTGAAGGGAGCACTATCTTGCTTTTCCATCCCTTTTCCATGTGAGGATACAACATTCCTCCCCTCCAGAGAATGCAGCAATAGGGTGCCATCTTGGAAACAGAGAACAGCCCTTAGCAGGCACCAGTCCTGCTGGCATCTTGATCTTGGACTTTCCAGTCTCCAGAACCATGAGAAATAAACTTCTGTTGTTTATAAATTACCCAGTCTCTGGTATTTTGTTATAGCAGCACAAATGGAGTAAAACACAAGGACATTTTCCTTTATAAGCACTACCCAAAATCAAAATTGGGAATATTAACAATAACACAAAACTACCATTTAATCATGGATCTCATTCAAGTTCTGTGTTATTCCATTAATGTCCTTTATAGCAAAAGTATCCAATTCAGGATCAGTGATTACATTTAGTTATCTTATCTCTTTAGTTCCATTCAACTAGATCTGTTCTTGACTTTCCTTGACTTTCATTACTTTGACACTTTTGAAGATTACAGGCTATTTGTCAGATAGCTCCCAATTTGGGTTTATTTGATATTCCTTATGATTACATTCAGTTTATGCATTTTTTGGCAGGGATGTCATTGAAGTAGTGCTGTGTTCATACTGTTACATCTTATTAGATAGCCCATATTTCTCCTGGCTCCATTACTTGTGGTATTAACCTTGACTTCTTGATTAGGGAACTATCTGCTAGGTTTCTTCATTACAAAGTTATCTGTTAAAATTGTATCATTAAGAAGTATTTTGTGAAGGTACTTTGAGGCTAGGTAGTCATCTCATTCGTCTTCAAACTTTCACCCACTGCATATTAGCATCCACTGTATTTCTGGGCTAAATCAGTTACTTGTGCTGGCTGTCAAATGGTGATTTTCTGACTCCGTCATTTCTTCTCCATTCATCAGTTGGCATTCCACTGTAAGAAAAACTTTCTCCTTTTCCCACTTGTTTATGTCAGTATGAACTCATAGATCCTATTTTATTTAATGGGTTAATCATGCCATGATTATTTATTTTTATGCCATTTATTTTAAGGACTCATGAATTTCTATTTTATTACCATAGGGATCCATGAGACACACACATTGGGTGCCAGAACATAGGGAATAAATGAGTCCCACATTGGGCACCAGAATGTAGGGAGCCAGCCCTATATCACTCATGGGTACCCTGCGTTTGGTGACAACAGAGGAATGCAAAAA